AAATTTTCAACTGAAGCAAAACTTCTTTATCAGTCTGTAGAGAGGATCCAATAACAGTCCGACCTACAGGAGAAAACAAAAGAGCAACTCATTAATAAGTTTTTCTTCAAGAATCTAGTACATATCATTGGGAAACTAATGCCAGTTTAAAACAACTTTAGGCACTTGAATCCAATGAAAGAGAGAATATGACACTAGAAACAACAATAAGAAAACCAAGGAGGAAGACAATTAGGATTTTTTATTTTGAGACAAGAACAAGATGTTAACTTTCAAAGATAATTAAAGGGAAATTCCCGAATTTTCAATTTGGGTTGTGGACCAGATTCTAATAAGACAAGTTCTGAACAAGGAGAAAGGAGTCTTTCCCTTTATTCTTTGAAGTAACACAGCAAAAAAAAAGTGGAATTTGTGCTAGATTCAAGGCTTAATGCTAATGGGAATAACTTTATAAATAAAAGAAATTTGTTCAGAGGCTTTACAGCACTATCTTTAGTTGACAAGGGGAATTAAAATAATACATATTGATTACAGATTCTCTGTACTCATTACAAGAGCACTGAGGACCATTAATTTAGAATACTGTAACATGAAACCCACAATAACTATTAAGAGTATGCGAATTTGGCTGTGTTTTGAATATTGATGATGTTTGTTAAAGCGTCAATTTGAGGTGGATTTGTTTAGTTTCGGGGCTTTGGTATTGTGATTTAGCCTAACATTATGGCCAAGCCCGTTGTGCTAGCATTTACCAAGTGCAAATTGCGCAGCTTTACTGGACAAGAAAGGGACACACTTGGCCCCCTTTGATCAGGGAAAGAAGGAATAGGATCTCATGCCTCTGGAACTAGATGGAGAAAGATGGATGGGATTGATCTGATACTTGTTTCTCAACCTTAACCTGGGACACTCTACCTGGGGAAAGCAACGCCATGGACAAGAATAAAGCTTCTCGCTTCGTGTTTTTGTGCTAAAGTGATATGATTCCAGTGGCCACAGTAACCAGAGAAAAGAAACAAAGATCAAGGACAAGGGGAGAGACAGAGAGTAGCAATTGTTCAATCTTGTTCCCCTCCCCTCCATCTCCTGAAAACCAGAACGCTGCTAACTCTACCTTATGGCGTCAAAGTGTATACATGGACCTCCCACCGTCAAGAAGAAAAACTTCCCCAAACTAAAAACTGAAACGTATAAAGAAGGCTGAACCAGAAACAGAGATTGGGGAGGATTGTTTTGGCCATGAGAAGACTCGCTTACTGTAATCCAACAAGCTAAAATATTCTGCAGACTTGGTTTGCTTTCGGGTGGAAACCAGAGAAATCGTTTCTATACTTGTGTTAAAGCGTAATAAAAAAATCGGTATTATAATCCCAAGTAAATAGGATAGAAAACCCAGCTCAAGAGCAGAGTCGACTGCTAACTGCTTAGCGTATGCAGGGGTTTCCACCGGCCACCACTGCAAATCATGTTTATGACGCCACAAGCGGGATGAAGAGGTTTCACCTATAGCTCTGGATGTAAGACAAGGCCACCTGCTGGGGAACAAAATGAACAACTCGACTCATGGGGACTTACAAAATACAGAGACGAGATTCCCAGCTTGAAGAAGAAAATGAAAAAGGATATAAAGCACAGACGAACAACTACGCAAGTGACAAACTACAACCGCATATTGAGCTAAATGCTTGCTTGGCTTCATGAATATTGACATAAATCATTGTTAAATCATGTTACAGACAACTCTTTATATGTTGAGGAAAGACAAAAAAAAAAATTCACGGAATAAGATACAAAAGCTTCAAAACGAAAAACACAGTGACCCGGAGACATACCCGTGAAAAGAAATAAGGAAAATATAAACAGAAACCGGCACTCTGTTTGTCCTTCAGTCATGATCCGTCCTCTTGTTCTTCTCTTTTCCCCCTCCTTTATATTCTTCATTATGGGATGATGAGGAGAGGATCAGCTGTTGGGATATCTCATGGTCATGGGTAGCCTCGCTAAGAAATCATATATCTGCGACACTGAGTTGGATGCATAAATTTCAGAGTTTGGAATGTCGTTTGAAGCAAAATGGTGTCTGCCTGCCGCTAAGCCTAACAGAGAGAGCTTGGATGAACAAGAAAGTTTGAACAAGAGAAAGACAGAGACTTGGTCGTTTAGTAGTTTTGCTTCTTGTTTTCAAATCCCTTAAATCAGACAAACAAAACAAAGTTTTTGAAATGGAGTCCAATTTTTACTTCTTTATACCTATCCTTTATTAATTATTTCATTAATACTGTGTTTGGTTTGAAGTATTGGAAAGGAAAGAAAAGGTAGGAATTTCCCTATTTTGTATTTTCTCCTTCAAACCAAACATAGCCAGCCTCAAAGGATGATGTGTTAGTGTTAACAAGTTAAGATATTGTGAAATCACCGAAAACGGAACACCGGTCCATATTCTTTGGTCGTAGGCGTAGCTCGTAGAATTCAGAAGGCATGAGAGCGGATGATGGATGAGCCGCCCATGTTGACCGACCGGTTCGCGGGTTTCGGCTCGGATTCTGGCATGCATTGACCATGACCAATGCTCGTTTTTATCCTTTTCGCATTTGCATCATTGCATGCATTCGGTCAGACTCGCATATAGCTTCTGGAACATCCCATTCCAGTCTTAACTCTTAATAAACGGAGACACACCTCTTGGCTCTTTATAAGTATAAATAATGTAAGAGCCGTTCGATTTCATCTGCTTCAGTGGGCCCATTTTTCAAGGTCCAAACCTGGGTCTTGTTTTAACTTGGTAACATTACCCATACGAGCTTTATTATATCAATAATTACTTTTGAGGTGATGTTTGCTTTTATTGCAGTTTTGCCGTGTATCCGTAATATTTTGTCTCACTGTTTGAATGGAAAGGGAGATATTCTACGTGCAGCTGTAATGTTGCTTGGGTAGGATAGGGATGTGGGTAGTAGATAGGGCTGTTCATAATAATGTCCAATCCGATCAAACCGACCAACTCGGATCGATCCAATCCGAGTCGATCGGGTTTTCATCAGTACCAGTCGGTTTCGGGTTGGGCAAATATATAAATCGATATATCTGGTCGATTTTGGTTTTCTTGGTCTTCTACTAGTTTGGTAGTTCCTAGTTTGAATAGTTTCCTACTTAACTATAACTAGTCTTCTACTAGAACTAGAAGGCCCA